GAACTGGAAGAAAAAGTAAAATCCGCAGAGCAATCTAAAGAAATGTTTGGAACTAAACTAGAAGAGAACAGGAAACTGATGGAACAGGAGAGAGAACAGTGGGAAAGAGAAAGAAAAGAATGGTGGGAGAAACGAAAACAAGAAGATGAAGAAAGACGACAGCTGGAGAAACAGATTACAAAAAGAAATTAGACAAATTGAAGATGAAAAACAACAGAAAGAAAAAGAACTAAATAAAAAGGAAATGAAGATTCAAGAAGTAGAATATGAGCGCAAAAGAGAACAAAAAAAAAGAGAGGAGGAGGAGAGACAGAGGAAGGAACAAGAAGAAAAACAGAGGCAAGAATGGGAACGGAAACACAAAGAACTGGAAGAAAAAGTCAAATCCCAAGAGCTATCTAAAGAAATGTTTGAAATAAAACTAGAAGAAAACAGGAGACAGATGGAACAGGAGAGAGAACAGCGCGAAAGAGAAAGGAAAGAATGGTGGGAGAAACGAAAACAAGAAGATGAAGAAAGACGACAGCTGGAAAACAGATTACAAAAAGAAATTAGACAAATTGAAGATGAAAAACAACAGAAAGAAAAAGAACTAAATAAAAAGGAAATGAAGATTCAAGAAGTAGAATATGAGCGCGAAAGAGAACAAAAAAAGAGAGAAGAGGAGGAGAGACAGAGGAAGGAACAAGAGGAAAAACAGCACCAGGAATGGGAACAGAAACACAAAGAACTGGTAGAAAAAGTCAAATCCGAAGAGCAAAGTAAAGAAATGTTTGAAATACAACTAGAAGAGAAACAGTAGACAGATGGAGCAGGAGAGAGAGAAAGTGGGAAAGAGAAAGGAAAGAATGGTGGGAGAAACGAAAACAAGAAGATGAAAGAAAACGAGAAGAGGACAACAGACAAAAAGAGATGGAACAGAAAATAAAAAACTTGAATGAAAGACTCAAAGAAGATGAGCAAAAACTAGAACAAGAGGAAATGAAGAGAAAAGAGTTAGAGGAGGAACATCAAAAACAAGTGGATGATCTGAAGAGGAAATATGAAGACGAGGCCAGAAGCCAAGCTGAAGAGCACAATGAGTTCAAAGAAAAACAAGCTTCTCAGTATCAAAAAGAAATAAGTGTTTTAGTAAAACGACTTTGGACAAGACCAGATAAGTTGATTAAAATGAACCTTTTAATTTCAAAACATGAAAAAGGAATAAATGAACTTGTCACAAAACATGAAGAAGAAATAAACAAAGCTACAAATGAGGAGGAGAAAAAAGCAAAACAAAAAGAGCAGGAAGAAGAGAAAGAAACTATACAAAAACAACATGAAAAAGAAATAAGTGAGTTAGTAGAGGAAGTGAACCAATCTTACTGTGTGATTTTATAAAAAATATTGTCTAAGATGAGAACACTGTGTCTTTGTATTTTGAGTTAATGACCCAGAGCCACTCTTATTGTGTCTCTTATGATTATGATGTATTATTATACCTTAAAGCACTGGACATATTGAGCTTTTATCTTAAATTTTAATTATGTATGTATGTAAATTTGATGTATGTATGTATATATGTATGTATGTGTTTATATGTGCTCACCTTCCTCCTATGTGTCATTGTGGTTCCTCAATTGATCATATTTTAGTATTTAGAGGATTATCCATCTTATATGGCTCCTGCACAATGATTTGGTGCTGAGAAGACAGTTATGATATTCAAACAAAAATGTTTTATTGATATTGTGAACAAGGTTCAGCTGACTGGTTGTTGCGGCCGATGTGGATGATGAGGGGCAGATGTAGTGGTAAATGTGTTAATGTTACTGTGATCAGGACGAAGCCTCTGTGGTAATGTTATAAGAAAATATCTTTGTCTTTCATTTCTTATGAATCTATTCATGTGAAATTACTGAAAAAATAAGTAAATAAAAATGTGTTTGCTTTCTCTGGTTTAGCACAGATTTACTGCCTGAAGTATTTAGAAGATCATAATAACTCCAGAATTGAACTTTAAATAAACATAGTCCTATTAATTCCCATGGAATTAATTCAAATCTTTATAAAGCTGTGATTTTATATTTTATTACTTATTTTTGACTATGACTTGTACATTTGCATTTACATAATTATGTCTTATGTCACACCTGTCTCTTGCTATAATTTTTTGTTACTTATTTAGAATGTATTACATTTTTGACTCTTTGTTATTATATTATATTGTGATTTGTGAGCAACTGTAAATACAAAATACAAGTAAAAAGTTATTTCTCAGTCCAATTATCCAACCAGAAAGCAAAATGAACTTTTTACTTTGGGTTGCCAGATTCTACAGCTGAGAACATCTTGTGTTTCCTCAATATAGCAGCTAATTATGTCCTTTATTTAAACACATGGTTGGTGTAGTTTAATCCCAGTTTATCGTCCTGATGACTTGGTTTGGTCCTGTTGTAGTCCAGGTTTAGTCCCAGTTTAGATGTGGTTTGTGTGTGTTGTGTGAAGGCATCTTAAATCAACAGAAGTGCCTGATACAGAATACTACCTTTCACAAACACCAGAGGGCGCCATAGTGACACAGTTTGGGTTTGAGAGGAAACTGACTCCCACCACAGCCCTAAAACAAACTGCAGGAGAGATTTGGTCACGTGTTTTAAAGATCAGCACTGGATTTAAGAGGCACAGAATATTCAGTAAGACAAAGATGTACATGACTGATGATCTTGGGTTTAAAATTACACTCAAAAAAGTAACAAAGACTTTCAATAAGGCAAAAGAACTTGAGATAAATGTATTATGTATGATGTATTGTATTGAATGTAGTTTCTGGAACTGTATGCAGCACGATTTAAAACAGGTACAAGTTTGTCTCATTCTCAGTTTATGCACAGGCCTCATGTGAAAACTCAGACCCTCCAGAATTCCCTCCCTGAGCTGCAGAGGCTGCACTAGCGCTAGTTCATGACTGGTGCAGGTGCTGGGGTTCAGGTAGTGACCATTCAGAGAGATATTTTAGGTATGGGGCCCGGTCAAGCAGAAGTAAACAGCAAGGCCAAAAATTAAAGTAAATACATATGTACTCTAGTTTATGAAACTGTTTACCTTTTTTCTGTACCATTTTTGGTTCTAAAGTTCCATATGTTTTAAACAGACCATGTATGAAACATGGAACAAAAATTATTTCCCAAATTTTAAAGACCTGCAAATCATGTAAATAAACGGATGTATTTCATCATATCTTGTGTTATTCAATCTTTGATCTGTTGATGAAGGTACTTTTTTTTAATGTATTTAAAATGATAAAAATTTGCTTGGAAGGACTGACATATTTTATAGAAATAGTTTCCTTTCATTTTGAAGTAATATTAAAGTATTCGGAAGAAAAAAGTTGACAAATGATGTAAAATCCTGCACCTTCTACTTGTTTGTACAATTTTCCCTCTGTTACTTTTCCCTCCGTTACCATGACCTTTCTTAATACAAAATCTCATTAGTCAAAAAGTAAGAGGTTTTTCAACCTAATCTTGTACCATATGGTAGAAAACTATATGAAGCAAATATTCAAACCAGTTTGTTAAGGATATGTAAGTGAGAACCAAGAGTTATCACTGTTTGTATTTATTGCCCAAAAAGTGCTGCATATTTCATTCCCTCCGTTACCGACATGAGTTTTTAAATTTTTTGTCAACAACTTGAAAGAATATCACAGGTTTAACTTGACCCTGTTGGAGTGTAACTCTTTCCTACATTCTGATACTTTACTTATTTCAATAGTCCCTCTAGTTTCTGAATAAGAGACATTTGAATGTAAAAAATCTGCCCTTGTTTCCCTCCGTTACCACTTGACTGGACCCTATGAACCAACTGGATTTCAGCATTGAACCAGCAACCCAAATGAGAGGCTCACTCTGCTTTCTGATGAGATAATCATCTTGAGAGCCAAAATATCAAATTCTAAGATAAAAATGTGACATAAGTGAAGTGTTTTTGTACCTGTAGTTGATTTGAACATATTTACCTCCGTATCTGGAGACAAAAATAGGTCAGTTTTATGAAATATAAATTAAACTTCTTATGTGCAGTTCCTTCAATATCGAATGTGCAGATAGGAAATCAACAAATTAACCAAACCTGTAGTTTTAGACTTTAAGTTAAAAATATGGAAGATCATTTTGAAGATTTAGAATTTTAAATGCCGTTGAATTGAATGTTTTAACTCTGAAAAAAATTGTTTGAATTATTTTTTATTCTGAATTTTAGTTGCTGAAATGTTAAGTGTACATTTTCCAAAGTGTTAAAAAAAAAAATCACCTTAAATATTCAACACAAATATTTTCAAGTCCTCAAATTCAACAGTCAAAATTCGGAGTGTAAAATTCGGAGTGAAAAAAATTCGCAGGAAAGACCCAAAATGCCAAGACAGTAACACTCTGAATTTTAACTTTTGAATTTGAGGGCTTGAAAATATCTGTGCTGGATGTTTAAAAGGTGATTTTTTTAAATTTTGAATTTATTTGAAATATATTGGAAAAAGTATACTTAAGATTTCAGCAACCCAAATTCAGAATAAAAATAATTAAATTCTTTTTTTTTTTCTTTTTTTTTAAATTCAAAGTGAGAAATTCAGTGGTGTTTAAAATTCAAAATCTGATGGAACAAATTATCTTCCATATAAAAACAGGAAACTATTCCAAGTCTAAAAACGACCTGGACGATAGGAATGTGTCAGGAAAGTGAGGAATAACTTTGGACTACGGCAAACAGTTTAAAATGATTTAGTTTAGTTTTTCACCTTTTCACGACGGTAAAACTCACATCTTTAAAAAGTGTTTTAAATGGTCAAAAGTCCTCAAAATGGCACCCAACAGAAAACTTTAAACCCTTTATTGTAATTATATTGATTAATTTATTATGAAATCTGTGTGATGTTTTGAATTAAAATATATAATGTAAATAAAGCGTAATTTGACGTAGTTCATTATTTCAGTATTTGAGTCAACATGAAAAATGACATTGAGAAAGACGACATGATGCATTTATTTAAAGTCACTATTTCTTTGTCAAGTGAAATAAAATACTCTTTTATTTTTGAATCGATTGAATCACAGAAGAAAGGGAAAACAGACCAGAGGGTTATGACGCTAGGCTAAAGCGAACACATTTGGTTTTCATTTCGTTTGGACATTTGTGGTCGACATGAGACTTGTCCCTTCTGGGGAGCCGTACACTGCAAAAAAAAGGAATATCGAGCCTTGGTTCAAAATGTCTCAGAACGATTTGAGTAGTTTGGACGTGGAATTTTTAACCTGTCGACTTTTTATATATTTATATTTTTATGTTTTAGGGTTATCGTCACCTCAAACTGTAGAAATACTGAAACGACTGAGGCCTAAATGTGAGAATTTTCCATCTTCTTGTTAGTAAAAAATGTGACTGTAAATAATGTATTTAATGTATGTATTTAAGTAAGCATCGAAATAAGTCAAATATTCCAGGTCCAAAAATAAATTAAACTGAAAACTGCTGAAATTAAGGGTGCATCACACTTGCACATGCACCACATCAAAACAGGAACTAGACCCAGAACTAAACCAGGACCAAACCATTTAAAAATATTACTATAATTATTCCTTGTTTTATGTTGCACCATATCAGTATAATCTTATTTTGTGAGTTTTTTTCCACCGTCAATTCAACTTTTTGGGATTTAGGATTCTCAAAATTTAGATTAAACTGAGATTTGAACCAGGACCAAACCACTAACTGAGACTAAACTGGGTCTAAAACTGGACTAGACCAGGATCAAACCACCACAAGTTTAGACTAGACCCAGAACCTGGACTAAACCAGAACTCAAAACTAAACCAGGACTAGGACAACACCTTGAGAAGTCTTCATCAGGATTAAACCAGAAGAAATGTGAATTATAATGCAGATTTCAGGTCATTTGAACCAATCTAGAATATTCTTGTTTGCAGTGTAGGCCTCCCCTCATTGGCTCATCTGTTTCGAACTTGTCACAACTGCACTTTGGGGTTTTCTTTGTGGCACAGATGAGTTCAGACTGGTCTAAAATGGCGGCGTGTGGGGCAGGTACAAAAATGTGCAGTGCTCCAGCAAAGCATTAATAAACCGTGTAATAAAAAACAATGTCTTTACAACTACAACACTACAAGAGCCCTGTCCATTGGATTCACTTTGTAATGATTACTTTCATATAAAAATCGATTGAACAAAACAGGATACTATACTGGCATACTTCAACGTGGTTAAGATTAGAATTTGTCATTTCGCGTTTCTGAAGCTGTTCCTTTTTGCTATGAAATAAAAATTTGAAAAAAAACAAAAATTATTACACAAAATGTACATTCTCCTCTTAAAAAAGGAAAATAAAACAATAACATTTTCGTCTCTCAAAAATGAATTAGCTGTTAGACATACAGTACAATTACACAGATACATAGTTTTCAATACCGCACATTCAAATCTGCCAAAAAAGTTATGATTACAAAGCCAACAAGATGCTGCCATATATAGAGATGTATGTACAATGGTTATAGCATTCAGAATTGCACTATGCCTCAGTTAAATGTAAATTACAGGCTTTTTGTGTTCAAACTATGTGTCGCCAATGTGAACCGTTTTAAATCATTGACTTACTTTGGTACAAACTGAAACAACTCATTTTGATTAAGTACAAATTAGTCACAATCGTTGAAGATGCACCGTGGAACTTTTCTCGGGAAGGGTACGCCACCTGCTTTGCCTCAGTATTATCGCTGTCAAAAGGATCTAAAATCAGGTATTGAAACTAGATATTCATTTGAGCAGGTGTTGATACTAAAAACGTCGCATTCACAGAAATGAACCTTTCCTGAATCGATTTAAAATGAACTTAAGTTTAGAACAAGATTAAAAAGTCGTCCAGGTGGGTTTCATATTGGTCCATGGACATGTACTGGTCTGAGGAATCACACAGATATAAGACCACATGGTAATACAAAAGAAAGTACTACCGTTTATTGTTAAAAATCACATTCTGTTGCCTAAGTTTCAAAACTGAGTCTGAGATTTTAGTGCTGCGATATTCAGAACACTACTCAGAATGGAATTAAACTTAACCCCAACCTTAATACCGTATTTTTGGACTATAAGAAGCACTTTTCATGGCTTGGGTGTTTCCTGTGACTTATACTCAGGTGCGACTTATATATTCAAATATATAATGTCACATGTTTGTTTTTTCCACCCTGACAGCCACGAGAGGGCGCTCTAGTCTTGTGTGTCAGTATCTGCTGCTCCTATTCCTCTTGTACCACTGTCACTTTTCGCTCTACTGCGCATGTCTCCTGCAGAAAGAGCCGCTGTCCTGCCTGTATCATGTCAGTGTCTTGGAGGATTTCAGCAGATTTCAGACTCTCTCGGAGGCGGGGATAGGTGTATCGATCAGGTGTGAGTGGATGTCTGAATACTGAAGTTTGAGGCATTTCTTCTCGTCATTTACGCACTCACCTGCATTTAACTCATACGGGTCAAGACATATTCCACTCACTAATGTTCATTTAGCATCATAACTTATTTTATCACACGGCGATAAACTGTTACATCATATTCTGCAAATTACAAGCTGCAAGTAGTGAAATCTGCAGCCGAAAACGGTAATCGAGCAGCAGAAAGAAAGTTTGGAGTGAGCGAGAAACATGTGAGGGACTGGTGAAAAGCGGAGGATACTCGAACTGCAATGAAGAAAACAAAAAAAGCTAATTGCAAGCTAAAAGATAGATGTGGCTGCGGAAGTGACACCGAGGATGAAGAATTCAACAGATTTAGTGATTTGGAGTGAGATGGAGAGTTTGGTTGGTTGCATTAACATACCAGACGCCTGTTCAGCCTGTTATTCTCTATTCTGTTATCACTATTACGATAACTTGACTTTCCAGATGAAATGTGGGTTCCTGGTCTCTGATTTCATAAAATAAATTTCCCCCCAAAATGCGACTTATATATGTTTTTTTCTTCTTCCTTATAAATTTTTTGGCTGGTGCGACTTTTACTCCGGAGCGACTTATAGTCTAGAAAACACGGTGCTTGGTTACTTGTCAGATCTGTGGAGAGGTGACCACGCTACCAGTGAGAATCCATGTTTTTCAATACAGTTTTTAAGGACAAAAACAAAGCTCTAACTTCTCCGCCTCTGCTAGAAAAGTTCCATGGTGCATCTTTAAGTGTAGTGTTCGGAAAAAGGATGGGAGGGGCTACGCAATGTTCACGACTGATTGGTTGAATAAAATAGAATACTTTTTCGCAAATACTTAAAAAAATTGTAGCTCGCGTGGATAGTCCCTTCAAGTCGAACATAAAAATCGCTCTTTGCGGTCGACTAGCCCTGCATGTTTCTCGTAAATACTTTTAAAAGTAGTAAACAGCGCAAAAGTGGAGTCTGACATTTTGGCATTGGCAATAAATATACATACTACCAGAATAAAAAGCAATATGTGGCACAGTTAAACAATTGTACACCACTGTTCATAAATAAACACTGCCTTTCAGTCAGTTAGCAGTTAGCAGTTAGCACTAGTTTTAGTGTTGGACTCTTACTCCTAAACTAGTCTCGCCTCAGCCGTGTGCTTCGAGGCGCCACGAAACAGATGTACCAAAGTTCAGAAATCAATCAATGAATTAATCAAGAAGAAATCATTAAGAAATAATTTAAAAATCACAGTTTATGCCTAGTAATTATCGACTTTCCAATCAGTCCATTAGGGGGGAGTTGGTACACAGGAAGGACTTATAAAAAAGAGGGGGGAGGAGCCAGACGTTCCGCTCTTGGGTCCCTCGGGTGCACAGGTGAAATTAACCCGAAACGTAACTTCGAAAACCCCAAAAGAGAGGGTCGGACCTGCGTGTTTAAACCTCCCCAACGCTTTCACTAACTCCTCAGATCAACAAATGGCAAATGAATGAACACTGGCGGACCATTTGACTGGGTTTGCGACTTGGTTTGGAGCGTGTGCGTGAGTCTAGACCAGGTTGTACTCCTTGAGGTTGAGCTGCAGGATGGTGTCTTTGACGGCGGCGAACACGAAGCGGATGTTCTCGGTGTCGGTGGCGCAGGTGAAGTGGGAGTAGATGATTTTGTCACTGTCCGGGTTTAGGTCCACAAACATCTTCAGGATGAACTCCCGCGCAGCCTGGGCGTCTCGCTGAGGGCCTGCACGGAGACAGAACGGTTTAGAACAGAGGTGAGCAAAAAATAAATAAACTTGGAGCTTCAGGGAGTCTAATTTGGCCTGCGAGGGGTCTCTGAAGAATCTATTTTGATTCAACTTTGTATTAAAAAGACGAGAAGGAGGCCAATCCTGTCTATTTCCTAATATTTAAAGTCAATTTAATACACATTTCCTTGCAGAAGAATATTTTTATGCGCAAACTGTCATTACATTTGACCCCCGATCCTCAAATGCTCATCTGTTTTGGCCTGTTGAGGAAAAAACTTCGAGAAGGTTTTCATGGTTTTGCAATTAGTAGTTGGTTTGGTGTGATAGTACCTGTAGTAAAGGGTGACCACATCTGTTTTATTGCATGCTACCTTTTTCCTGCTGTTCTAGAATTGCGTGTTGCAACACTGGAATTTCCCCACTGTGGGACTAATAAAGGCATATCTTATCTTATCTTCAGAAACTGGGACACTTGGTAATAATAAAATTGTCAAACAAGTGCGTAATTAAGGGACATTGTTCTGCTCTTGGCCCATTCATGACTAAAATGTGAGTCAGTATAGTCACATTTTCTTGGTGTTTTGATCATTTTTAAGGCTACTTGTCTGTATTTTACTAAAGTAAATGTCAATTTATGCCTCTTTTTACAGTTGTCAGGGATCAAATTTGTCAAAAGTAGTGATACCTGGGACATTTCTTGTATAAAACTGGGACAAAACACTGGTTTTGGACAAATCTGCTGGGACAGGGAACACACGGCTCAAAACTGGGACTGTCCCGAGTAAATATGGACATCTGGTCACCCTACTGTAGTAATAATTTATTATTAGCGCTGTGAAGAAAAGTTAAACATTGAAAATTACAGGAAGCAGAGCTAAAAATTAATCCCTTAATCTAAGACATTAATAAACAAAATTCCAACCAAAATGAAGGCCAATTTTGTTTCAGTTTTAACTTCAATTTAAGAAATTGGAAGGCATTGTAAAAAAATAAATTGTGATAATATAAATATAATAGTACTTAACGGCCATTTCACACACATTATTAGTAGTAATCTTTTCTCATTTCATGCTGCCCTGGTTGCCAAAACAATTAACAACTCAAACCCTCTTCCTGTTTTTGAACACAGAGCATAGATGCAGTTTATGTTGTTTCTGTGAGCGTCTGGAGCGCGCTCAGTCCGTACCGTCGTACTCGGGGAAGTAGTCGACCAGGTGTGAGTACATGATCTTCTCCTCCAGCAGGTCCTTCTTGTTCAGGAACAGGATCACGGAGGAGTTCTGGAACCAGGGGTACGTGATAATGGTCCTGAAGAGGGCTTTACTCTCCTCCATGCGATTCTGCGACACCCAAACACAAAAGCACAAACACAGGCACACGAACACAAACACACACAGAGAGAAGAGAACAAGCAGCAGGTGAGTCCTCATTCTGAACCAGTACAGACAATAACATGGGAATCATTTAGGAACAAAAACAGATCAGACTTTTGGTATAGCAGTTTTTATAACAACAACACTTTAACTAACCATTAGAAAGCATGAAGAAAGATTTAAATAATGATTAAAAACATAATTTCATAATGAATCAGAGGGTATTGCACTTCTATGGGTTATTAATTAAGAACGCATAACAAATTTAGATTACCAGATTACCATTTATTGTTTTGAAAATGCTATAATCACACTTCCTTTTGCTCTCCGTGCTCAGTCACATTACAATCTGCGTTAATTAATACCCAAACTTGTATATTATAACCAGAATTTTAACCGTGCCTTTGATTTCTTTAACATATCTCTCTTTTGCCACTAGAGGTCAGCAAAGAAGCACTAAAAATGTGGTGTAAAGTAGAAACTCATCAATTTAAAAAGTAATAAAAGGGGAAACTGAGCATTGTGCTGCTGTTCAAAAGGATCCTGAAGGTGAGTGGAGTTTTTTTTTTTTAATTTAATCAGATGTTCTTGTTTGATTGGGTTAAACTGAAGTAAAGAGAAGTGAGTAGATTACCTCATTGTCGGACTCCACCAGCACCTGGTCGTACTCGCTCAGAGCCACTAAAAACATGATGGAGGTCACGTTCTCAAAGCAGTGGATCCACTTCCTCCTCTCTGACCTCTGACCCCCCACGTCCACCATCCTGTCAGGGCAAAACCAGGGCAAAGTCAGGGCACATATAAAATTTGATCAAAATAAATCTAATGGAAGACTAAAGCTGGTGTACATGATTTTGACACCACAGAATGAGGAAGTAGGTATTTAAGTCTAATCAAACTTTATCCATCTTCCTCACTCTCACAAACCCTTTGGCACATTCTTAATTCTCAGTGTACAGAAAACCTGGTACAATGCATCTCTCCTATTAAGGTTAATGTATACTGTGCACTGTCCATGTGTCAGTAAATAAATAAACTAAACTAAACTAAACTAAACTAAGTGAAACTAGCTTGGACCTCCCCAACAGCCAATCAGAGCACTGCTTTTGGCCGTTACTTTTGAGTTGGCAATAAATATAAATACTTTATTATTAGCGCATAATATGAAATTGGGATTTTTCTAACGAGCATTGTGACTGAGATTAGATTTGCAATTTATGTTTTAGTAAGAGCATTGTGTTCAAAGTTCACTTCCAGAAGAACTGACTGAAATATGAACTGAAAAACTAATACAAGAGTCACGTGTATTTTATTCCGTTTGTGTGCTCTTCGAGGTTTAAGTTCAAATGTTAGCAGAATCTGAATATAGCTGTAAAAATGGGACACACAGGAACACAGGAATATGCCGATAGATGGCATAGAACAGACATGTCAAACTCAGGCCCAGGGACCAAATTTGGCCTGCGATATAATTATATTTGTCCCACGAGATCATGTCTGGTATGTATTAGAGCTGGAACTAGATTTTTATTAAATTGTATTATTATTTTATTTCATGCTTGTTCTGGATTCAATGTTTAAGCTAAAATATTATAAACATACGATAAATATTTACTTTAATAAGAAAAGGTTAATGTTACATATCCCAAAAGAAGAGAAAACCTTCAGATGTTGTTGAAATTTGTCAATAAATATTTAGTTTGGCCCACGACTTAGTGCCAGTTTTTAATTTTGGCCTCTGTGAATTTGAGTTTGACACCTCTGGCACAGAATATACATGTATCTAAAAAGTTCAGACACTGCTGTTTATAACCCATGCCTCTGTGTGAGATTTGTGTGAGATCTGTGTTGTACCTGAATATGACGCTCTGCAGGTCGAAGGGATACTCGATGATGCCCGTGGTGGGCACTCGGACCCTGAGGACGTCCTGCTGTGTGGGCAGATAGGCCGGCTCCGCGATCCGGTCCAGAGCGTTCAGGTAACTGTGGAGCAACGACAGTGTTCAGGTGAGTCTCTCCTCACCCCAAACTCCTACCACAGCTTTTCTGTTTGTGTGTGAGCCTCAAGACACCATAAAAACCTCATCTCAGACAACGCCCCGGTCCTTAGTCTCTCTACGCAACCACCTCTGATCCATCTGTATCATCTATCAATAAATATCTCCATGGAGCTAAACAGTGACCGCCCAGCCCCAAGTAAATGTCTTATTCAATCAGACTTTCAGAAAAAAAAATAAATAAATAAATTAAAAGCTCAGGGCTAATCATCTCTGTAAACCTATAATCTTATTTTAAATCTTCTTTTAAACTTTATAAACTGTTATTAAACGTTTTTCACTGAATCTTGTGTTTTAAATGTGCTTTTTGGACTTAAAAGTGGTAGTTAGCACGTATCTGCTTAGCCTCTGCGATGGCTTTAAACTCTTTAATATTTGAATTTTTTGAAAAGCCTATGGGGAAAATGAATGGAAAATTTACTCCCGGAACAGGAGTGGGCGGTCACTGTTGAGCTCCAGTGCACACTATTTTTGTGGTGTGGTCGTTGCTAGTGCAGTTAACAAAACTGAAGTTTTTCCACTATCTCACCGTCGTGTCCTTAAGCAAGACACTCCACCCACCGTACCTGCGCATGAATGTGGTGTGGAAGTGGTTTAGAACTGTTGAGGGGAAGTTATCTTACCCCAACCATCTTACATTTAAGTTTACAAAAATAATCATGGCAATTTGTTGATTAGAAGAATATTAACCAAAATCAAGACTAAAACTAACTTTGTTCATTATTTGTAAATATAAACACAGTTAGGCCTGTCATCATAACACAGTAGACAAAATGACAAAAATTAAACTAGACACAATAACCCAAGAGCAGATTTAAACCACTAAAATTATTCTAAATCTACAATATTGTTAAAAAAAAGTGATCTCTAATAATAAAAGGAGCAGAATGAAACACTTTACTACTTAGTTTCCATCTGTAATGAGTCATACAAGTTATTAATTCAACCTTTTACATCTTAAATCTCATAGTATAACCAAAAAAATAACCACAAGTTTGTTCAAAAGTGCAAAAAATGTAAACATGATCAATATTCCCCCCCCAAAAATGTTGTTCCAGTCCATATAATCATCGTGAGTGTAAAGTGCCCTCACTATTTCGTGGAGTCTGAGAGCTGGTACTCCCTCCGGCGGTCGTAGCACTCCTGGATCCCCGGGTCGTTCCATAGACTCTTGATGGCGTCGACGTACGGATTCTCAAACATGGACACCTTCTCCACATCCACGTCCCGCACGATGTTTGCATTGGCCTGGAACAACAACAAAAGTTCTGTATTTAGATCTTTATAAAAATAAGACCGAATGATTATGGGGGGAAAAAAATTATAATTTGTCAGGTTTTTAGTGTTTTTTGAGTTCACACAGTCCTTGTTTTATAACTACAATGTCAGCAGAAGCACTACCCTTAAAGGTGCATTGTGTAACTTTTCTCGTGAAGGGTCTGTCAAATGTTTTTCTCCATGGAGATGTTATTGCTTTGTTTGTTTGTGTGTCTTTTTTGTTTTTATTTTGCACGTATATAACATGACAATTTAAAAAAAAAAGAAAAAACACACACTAGATAAAAAAAGTAGATGCCGGAAGAGGCAAAAAACACAAAAGGACTTATATTAAAGCCTCCACCTTATGAATACATTAACATTATAGGGTGAAATATTAAAAAAAATTTTTACATTTGAATGTTATCAAAATGTATCAATAAGAATTACTGTAAAGCGTGTTACAAGCATTTTTAACCTGGATTGAAGTGGTGGGTTTTTCTTCATACGAATTTGCTAAAATCACAGCGATTCCACCACGGACTGGGGGTACTCTCAGGGGCAGTCCTAGATTCCAAGTTCTAGTCCAAGATTAGTCCTGCTTTGGTCCTGGTTTAGACCTGGTTCAGTCCTAGTCCAGTCCTGGTTCCAGTCCCGGTTCAGTCCTGGTTCAGTCCTGGTTCAGTCCTGGTTCAGTCCTGGTTTAGTCCTGGTTTAGTCCTGGTTTAGTCCTGGTTTAGTCCTGGTTCAGTCCCGGTTTAGTACTGGTTCAGTCCTGGTTCAGTTCTGGTTTAGACCTGGTTCAATCCAGGTTCAGGTCTGATTCAGTTTTGGTTTAGACCTGGTTTAGACCTAGTTTAGTCCTGGTTCAGTCCATATACGGCACAAAAGTTCAGCCTCTTCGTACAGTTATTTTGTTGAGAGTAACTTAAAAGTGCTGCAATAGTCGTGTCATGATTTTACATTTTAAACACAGTAATATTGTAATGTAACAAATTACTTTGAAATGACAGTAACAAGTCATAGTTTTTGAGCTATAAAACCACCTGTAATTTAATAAATGCTTGTAAATATTTAATGTCATGTACTAGAATTTGAAGATGTCATAATTTCAGACGGAGGGCGGGAGATTCAGCGTGAAGAAATATCCAACGTGAAATGTAAACCACAAAAAAGTTAATCCACAAATGCTAAACCTTCTCATTATTTGTTTGGGATCGGCTTCACTTCGTTTTAATCTTACGGCTTAAAGTCCTTTCAACTGACAACAATCACGTCTTAAAGGCTGAAGAATGCACCACTTTCTCAAGCGGTTGTGTAAAAGTAATTTCACTTTTGTTTATTTATGCTGACGAGAGAGTTTCGTTTCATGTGGATAGTCCCGGTAATTACAGAGACCAGGTCAACAAATCTGCAATCTGACAGAATTCTGACCTGCCCTCCGGCTCAAGTTTAAACTTCAGGGATTGTAATGTTGCGATGTCACGTGAACGCAGCCTATTTAAAAGCCAATTAAACATCAGTAATAGAATACACAGACGTTGTACATTTGTGTATTGGCCCTGAGGCTCGTGTGAGTTTAAATCCACTGAGGACGAACAGGAAACTTTGTCTGTCCCAGATTCACACAAAATATGAAACCAGCAGCGAGCCTGTCCTTAAATGATCCACATTAGTTTTAAAGTTACAGGACTTGTGTTGCCTGGGATCCAGAACACACACTTCTTCAGTACTTTTCAAAAATGAGAGTCCGGTCGCTGGTTGGTGAATCTCCCCGAGTTTAGATGGGCGTGATTGACAGGTAGATTTCTGCAGAATCAGTGAACAAAGCACTAAAATCTGTTCGTCTGAGGTGAGAGAAATGTGAAATGAAGGAGCTTGTTGGTCACAATTTAATAGTAATGCCTGAAAGTTCTGTTTTTTTGCAGATTTGAGGTCATACCAGCTGTTATCCTCTAGATCACAGGTGTCAAACATACGGCCCGGGGGCCAGATCCGGCCCTCCAAGACCTTTAATCTGGCCCTCGGCTGATTTTCTACTAAAATATTTTAATTATATTTTGTATTAAAATATTGTTAATTTTCTGCGGTGCTTAGCACAGCAGCGTCTCCAGCGTCTCTGTACGTGGCCCCTCCCACCAGAGCAGCACAAATGAAGACTTGTCTCTTTCCAAACGCTCTTAAAGGACGATCGTTTTGACTGTTGACCGTGACACCCTCATCAGAAAAATGTCCAACATGAGAAAAGTGGAGCCGAGTGCAGGATTTTCCAAGAAAAATGGACTTAATCCTATTTACATACAAGTTCATGTTAAAACATTGTATTTTTCTTAAAGTTTCAGGTTGTTCATAATATTATAATATTTTGTAATAGAAAGAGTTCATCAATTAAAAAAGATTTCTGTAATAGATTTAAGTTTCTCTCCACAAATATTTGAACTTATTGTTATTTTTGCGGTTTATATGTCATGAGTTTTCTGATCCGGCCCCTTTGGGATCAAAGTAGGTTGGATACGGCCCCCAGACCAAAATGACTTTGACACCCCTGGTCTAGATAGAAAGGTCATCTTGGACTTAAATTGAAGCTTATAAACTTGGGGAGTTTTTCATGTACATTTGAGGCAGTTATATATGTAATAAAATGCTTAAAAATTGTCACTTTTGATGCCACTTTGTCAAGCGGACAGATTTTTTTTTTGTCTTTTGGGGTATGTTGAAGGTGATATTTGACAGTAGAAAGGCAGCAAGCCCCAAAATATTTTTTTCTACTAGTTTACCCCATGTGTCAGGTAACACCATGCAAAATATTAGGGTTATTTGACCATTTATCCAGTTGTGGTGCCTTAATATTTACAGTTACAGTCTCCAGCAGCTTTTCCTAAATAGGGTGTTTTTTGGTCACCTGATTCATCAGCTGGTTTCACTTCGTAGAAACCGTCTGACCTCGCAGCATTAGGATTCGTTCACTCGACAGAAGGTGGGTACTTTTTGTCATTTAACCAGTCGCTGATATATGGTCGTGACGTATGTAATGCACCACTAACGGGGATAACAGGTACTGTATTTTCCGGGCTATGAGGCACGCTCTTAAGCCTCCAACTCCATCAAAAAACGGCCGCGCGTCCCGCAATCCAGAGCGCCCTATATACGAATTCACTCTGGTGTCCCAGCGCGACTTCAGTAAACTACAAAGCCGCACCACCCGCAGAAAACACAAACACACACGGAGCAGACAGCGACTGCGAGGCAAAAAACACCCACAGACACACTCATCACTCCACGATGACGAGGAACGGAACGGAGGAACGAACAGAAAAGTGAGTGCAATGTGCCACTTCTAGACACGACTGAACAACTGAGTCACTGCGAACACGCCGACAATCCAGCGGTCCCAGACACACCCTCCCTACACGCCACAACTGAACAAAGCCCTGAGTCACCGTGAACAAACAAACAAAACCACTCACCCATCACACTGTTGTGTTTCCTTTAAAGTTCGGTGCGGTTTATTTGTGAAAAAAGTTCGAAAATAGACCATTTAATGACAGTGCGTCTTATAATCCAGAGCGTCTAATAGCCCGGAAAATACGGTAATATTAAGCTTGAAGTGAAACCGGCTGATGAATCAGTCTAGCAAAATCCACCTTTCAGAATTTTTAACCATGTCATAGTTGTTCCTCTTCTCAGTGACCCTCCTGAAGTTTAATCACTTTTAATTTTAATCACTTATTTTCAAGATGCCATTTTGCCGATCAATTCCCTCTTTCAACACCACCGGTACACACCCATTGTGACGTACGCACTTCATTCTCCTCTTCGCTCGCTCTATTTTCCTAAATGGTGATAAACGTAGGACGTGTCGTGAACTCATTTTGGTACAAATGAAAAAAAAAACAAACAACTAGTGCAGTTATCCACAGGAGGGACCCACAGCATGCGCCACTTTGTTGTCATGACATTTACGGTGACGTCAGCTCACATTGGGCACCACAGTGTTCCAACACAGAACTCAGTGGATTTGTTTCTTTTATTAAGTCGTTGTAGATGAATTTTTGCGATTTAAAATGCACACATTAAAACATAATGCTCCACGGGTGTCTTAGATTAAAACTATATAGCAGACACAAGCACAATATGTCTTTTTTAACCCTTTCATTTCTCGTTTGGTCGATTATAAAACAGAGCAGGGTCGTGAGTCCTGGCACACACTGAACGTCTGTCCATTGTGGCCCAAACAAAGGCTGGACAGGTTTCATTTCACTTCCTCCTGACGAGTCGGAGGCAAAACTTCCTCTATCAACAATACAATGGCACACAGAGAACATTACCAACATGCAGGTTAATTCAGGCTAACATGAAAAGGATCCCTAATTATTTCAATAAAAGGTGTTGTGGTCACGCTCTGGAATTTGTTGATGTCATAGTTTCAGAAGGAGGGCGGGGCCTTGTGTAACTCTATGGGAGATTCACAGTTTTTGAATGAAAGACCCAAATTCATGTTGATTATGTTTGGGATTGGCCCCACTTTTCATATTAATTTTATGGTTTAAACAAGGGGTCACCAAACATTTTTCTCGGGGGGCCACATTATCGCTCCTGACTATGATGGGGCCAGGGTTGGGTCGGCCGCGTAACAGATTTGTACGACCCTGACGACGCAGATTATATTCTTTGAAATCCGTCACACTTTCTTTACATATCAGACAAACTGCACGGTCCAACACTGAACAAAAAATTATCGGTCGTCCACTGTTCTCGGAAAACTTGGCGTTCTCTGTCAACTTTTCATACTTTAACATTTGACATTTTGCTGTCCTTAACTGCACTACAGAACTCTGCACGTGCAACTATCACTGTTTGATCTCGAGCTTGTCAGGTGAAGAAAATTCAGCAGCAAATATAAATATGTCATAAATATAAATACTTCATATAAATATAATTTTTTACTTGAACAAAAAAAAAATCAACAAAATACAAGGTGCCGACGTGTTATTATTTGCTAAAAAGTAATTTTAAAAAATAGGCCATGACAACTTTTGAGGATTGTCTCATAGGCCAGTTCAGGTGGTGGGGGGCAGAGGAGCTGAGGGGCCAGTCAAAGAGGCATGGAGGGCCGGAGTCAGCCCGCGGGCCTTAATTTGATGACCCCTGGTTTAAGGTCCTTTCAACTGACAACAAACACGTCTTTGAGATTGAATAGTGGCATCACTTTCTGAAGCTGTTGCGAAAAAATAATGTCACTTTTATTACTTTTTGTTTCATGTGGACAGTTCCAGTATTTACAGAAATATGAACCATAAACCAGGTCAACAAATCTGTAATCTGAGAGTTCCACAGAAAACTAAACCTGAGAGTTCTGACTTCCAGCTCAGTTTAAACTACTGATACTTTGCAGCTGATGTCAACATTTTCTGAGAAGCTGTGAATCAAACTGGAGGCACTGCTCTGTCTGAAGCTCTGTTACTCAAGTTAGACTTTCATCTCATCTCAGCTTTGTTTTAGCACAACCTGACCATAAAGAGCTGACTCAGGTGATCTGATCTGTGCCGTGAAACAGGTCTCTCACCTCAGGACCGTGAACGAAAGCGTTGGTGAAGTCAAAATGGACGAGGGCTCGAACTGTGAGTGCACTTTTATATCGGCCATTACGGAAGCAGCCACATTTAGAGTTTATACTTACAGTAAGGAGCTGCTGATGAACCAGTTTACAATCAAGCCATCAATATAATTTTATTTAAACCCAATGAGCCATGTAAGTACAATAATAATAAACTTAAAATATATCACCCAATTTACCAGATTTGGCTTTTTATTGTCCTAACAACATGAAAATTGGCACTGCTCACACCCGGCCAATTAGGATGACACCCTCAAAATGTGAGATTGGTCTGATGAGTGGTTCTAGAGTTAAGCATAGAAAAGACAAAAAAACAAGACGTTCCTTTAATTAACAGATGGATAAAAATAAACGCTTAAACTTCTCTTTAATTTCTGAATCAGAATTTGTCAATTTAGGATCAAAATAGCCAAGCTGGTGCCACCTAGTGCTTCCGGTCAATTTCATTTCTCGCCAGCGACTAGTTCAGGAATCGAAATACACCAGACGGTTCGCAAAAACCCTGGAAGTGCGAGTTCGGGCACCAGCCAATCGGCGAAGAGTCATATATTCAGTGTTGTCAACGATTCCCGAGATCGAAGATTTAAAGCCGGAATAAAGAGAAGGTTTGGTCAATTTTATCAAGGGGAAAGACGTCATTGTCCTTCTTCCTACAGGATTTTGGAAAATTACATACGTCACGACCAAATAACAGCGACTGGTTAAATTATAAAAAGTACTCGCCTACCGTTGATCGAATGAATCCTAACACTGCGAGGTCAGACGGTTTCTACGAAGTGAAACCGGCTGATGAATCAGGCTAGGATAAAAATACACAGAAACAAAATACTGCACTCAGGTCCAGGTCAACAGCAGCATAAATAATAATAAGAAAAAATTGTTTTAAATATTGTGTGTCAAATACAGGCTTCAGAAAATGGGAGCAGGTGGTGGGTGTTTTTTATTTTTATTTTTTTTTTAAAGTATGTAATTTTCTTCATGTAAAACACTTCAGACCAAAGGCAGTTCTGCGGAGCATTTGCTTTTTGTTTACACTTTCACTTTGCGGTTACCTGAGCAGAGGAGGAGGAGGATTATGGAGAACTTTACAAAGGTCTAGTTTGGATTTTTGCACACACGCTCCACAGTGGGTTTATTTACTCACATGTACCACATTTGGGAATTACACTTTTACCAGGAGGAGGGTTTTGGAGGAGTTTGGTTCATGGAGAGACTGTCAGGAGGAGACTGTGACTAAATGTGGATTATTATTACACACTTTAAGACGTTGTAAAGGTTCTGCGCTGGAGACTTGATGTGTTTTACATTGCAGATCTGGACACGTCGTTTCCTCAGCTCTTCTGTTTTAGCGGTGAGATGACACACTGTTTTGTTTGGACACATGTAGGACTAAAACGTGAGTGCTGCTGCTGATACATGAATCAGTGCGGTGAATGTACTGGCTCATTGCTGTGGACATTTAGGAACCAAAAGGAAGCCAAGGGCCAAGGAACCGAAAGTTGGCACCAAACAAACTGTGGTTTTTCAGTGCGGTACTTACCAACCTTTTCAAATCCTCATATCATTCGTTCATTTGTTTTTCAAAATAAAACCAAAAATAAGAAAATGAAAAAACAAGTATTTCCTTCATTATTTGTCTACAAAACCAAAATGAAAAAACGGATAACGATTAGTTGAACTGGGTCTAAACCAGCACTGAACCGGTCTCAGTCCCGGTCTCAGTCCCAATTTTGTCCCAGCCTCAGTCCTGGTCTCAGTCCAATCTTGTCCCAGCCTCAGTCCCGATCTTGTCCCAGCCTCAGTCCCGGTCTCGTCCCAGTCTCAGTCCCAGTCTCAGTCCCAAACTTGGGACAAGCCCCAATCTTGTCCCAGCCTCAGTCCCGGTCTCAGTCCTAAACCAGGAGTGTCAGGATGGGCCCATAGGTGCGTCCACGTAGACTGTCGGGTGATCAGAACTGAGACCGGGACTCGGACCCGGACCAATCTGAGACAGAGACCAGGACTGAGACCAGGACTGAGACTGGTTTAGTCCTGATTTAGTCCTGGTAGACCTGGTTTAGTCCTGGTTCAGTCCTGGTTCAGTCCAGGTTCAGTCCAACATCACAGTTTAAGTCACAGAAACAGGAAACATCCATTATCCATTTTTTCCATTATTCATTTAAACACAAAACCAAAAACTGAAAAAAACACATCATTATCTGTTTTTTTTTTCATTTTGGTTTTGGAGACAAAAAAATGAAGAAAATAGTTGTTTTTTTAATTTTCTTATTTTTGGTTTTATTTTGAAAAACAAATGAACAAATGACACACAGATTTTTTTGCTGCCCAGTCCTATACCCACCAGTTACCTTGTTGTTGTGTATTTGTATTTACCTTGTTGTTGTGTATTTGTATTTACCTTGTTGTTGTGTATTTGTATTTACCTTGTTGTTGTGTATTTGTATTTACCTTGTTGTTGTGTATTTGTATTTACCTTGTTGTTGTGTATTTGTATTTACCTTGTTGTTGTGTATTTGTATTTACCTTGTTGTTGTGTATTTGTATTTACCTTGTTGTGCTCATATTTGTAGGGGATCTTGAGCGTCTCCATGGCCCTGATCATGGCCTGCATGGCGGTGAAGATGTTCTGATAGACGAGTTTGGTGAAGCCTCGTTTGTCTTCGTCTGAGTAGCCCGTTCCGTGGATGATGCGCATCTGTTTGATGAAGGTGCTCTTCCCGCTCTCCCCGGTGCCTGAGGATGGACACAACGCAAACATGAGATGACAAACTTTACCGCATTTTAATCAGCGCAGTGACAGAAAACTAGTGGAACCACAGCACACAAGAGTCCACAGCTCTTTCTTTCCTTTTGTAAATTTTTATATGTAATCACTGCAGTAAGATAAGAGCGCCTCATACAGAAAAAAATAAACTCAAATTTTTCAGATTCAGATAATATCACATGAATCCAACAGAAATGTGTTTAAAAGGGTTCATATTTTCTGATCTATGTTAGAATTTCCTCATCAAAAATATACCTGGACAATCCGTGTAACATTCGTTCATTATTTTTTCAATATAAAACCAAAAATAAGAAAACGAAAAAACAACAGTTTTCTTTGTTATTCATCTCCAAAACCAAAATGAAAAAACGGATAACGATTCGTTTTTTTCAGTTTTTGATTTTGTGTTTAAATGAAGAATGGAAAAAACGGATAACGGACGTTTTCAGGTTACGTGACTTCCGTGACTTTTACACTGCATACGGACTGAACCAGGACTGATCCAGGTCCGGGACCAGAGCGGGACCAGAGCGGACTCCGAGCTTTGACTCCGAGCCTCAGCTTCGAGCTCCAGCCCTGCCGTGGGCTCTGAGCCTCTGGTCTGGTCCTGGTCTAGTCCTGGTCTGGTCCCAGTCTCGGTCCCGGTCGCAGTCTCAGTCCTGGTCTGGTCCCGGTGTGGTCGCTGACCTGGATCAGTCCTGGTTCAGTCCGCATGCAGTGCAAAAGTCCGGCATCGCAGTCACGGAAGTCACGTAAATGGGAAACGGGCGTTATCCATTTTTTCATTTTGGTTTTGGAGACAAATAACAAAGAAAACAGTTGTTTGGTTTTATATTGAAAAAAGAATAAACGAATGATACACGGATTCTGGACATATGTTTTGTTTCATTCACACATATTACACAAACCCTGCATATTTAGACTGAGTTCTTCACTCTGTTCCACCTTGTGATGTCATGTAGTAATACAGGAAGTGCTTCACTGGGTTTTTAAAAACACCTTCCAAGCGCCTTCATTAGAATAATTTGGATAATTTCAGACCTGGAACTGCAAATCTTTATGGAAAGGTAAAAGGTTAACTTGAAAACTAGCAGTACATGACATCACAAGGTGGATTTTGAGAACGTTTTGAGCTTTGGAGATGTAGACAGGCTAATTATGAAGTGTTACTCAAACATATGTGAAACAAAACACAACTCCAGACATGTTTCTGTGGAGGTACATTTTTAAAATAGTTTAAAGTTCACAAGAGTTAGTTTGGTGTAATATAGGACCTTTAAGCATCATGAAAATGGGAAACCACAGAAAAACTTGCACACAAAAAAGCAGAAATATCCCTCAACATCCTCATTTGTTTCTTTCCCTTCCATTTTCACTTTTAATCAGCCTCATTACAGCACAAAAATATATTTCTGATGAAAAAACAATATCAGACCACATCAGAAAACAGCATAATATGGACCCTTTAATATGAAAATCCAGCAGCTTTACTATAGAAGTTTTTATTTATTTTTTTATTTTTATGTTTACATTTTAAATAAATTTGAAAGAAAGTTCCAGGCTTCTAAGTTGGACTCAGACTTGACGGTTTAAACTTGTATTCTCATGCTTTATTTTATGCACAATGACTTTAAATCAAATTCAGGCATGGGGACTAGATTTGGCCCGCGAGATCATGTTAAATATGCATTAGAGCTGCCTGCCGACTACAGATAGACTATAGAGACATTACCGTATTTTCCGCACTATTAGGCACTCTGGATTATAAGGCGCACCGTCATTGAATGGTCTATTTTCAAACTTTTTTCACAATTAATCCCACCGAACTATAAGGCGCATTAAACAAAACATAACAGTTGGATAGGTGAGTGGTTTTGTTTGTTTGGTGTGTTCACGGTGACTCTGGGCTTTGTTCAGTTGTGGCGTGTAGGGAGGGTGCTGTCTGGGACCAACGGATTGTCGGCGTGTTCGCAGTGACTCAGTTGTTCAGTTGTGTCTAGAAGCGGCACGTTGCGCTCGCTTTTTCGGTTCGTTCCTCCGTTCCATTCCTCGTCGACGCGGAGTGATGAGTGTGCTCTGGATTGTGGGGCGCGCAGTCGTTTTTTGATGGGGTTGGAGGCTTTTGAGTGCGCCCTATAGTGCCGAAAATACAGTATTTATCTAAAATGTTGTTATTATTTTATATTCTGCTTGTTCTGGATTCAATGTTTAAGCAAAACTATTAGTAAACTTAGATTTTAATAAGAAAAGGTTTAACATTACATCTCAAAAGAAGAGAAAACATGCAGATGGTGTTGAAAATTTTTAGTAAATATTTAGTTTGGCCCACGACTTAATAAAATTTTTTAATTTCGGCCCTTTGTGAATTTGAGTTTGACGCCCCTGCTTCAAAATGTGCAGTCGCAAATGATCTGGTGAAGGGTCCAATACTTGCTTGCCTCCATGGAGAAGACTATGATTTGACTTTAAACATTTCCATCTAGACTTTAATCGTGTTTCTGTTGCTCAAAAACACAATAATTTCTTCTGTGAAAAGGGGCGACTCTCCACAGATCTGTATTTTAATAGTGTAGTGTTGTGATTGGTTGGTGTAATCCTCTAGAAATGTCCCGCAGTGCACCTTTAAACACTGGTACTTGTCCACAGAGCTCGGGAGCATGACTGGCCGTGTGGAGCTCTGGACCTGCCTCCTGCCTCACGCCCACACGGCTCCGGCCAAACGCACCTTAAACCCAGGGAGAGCAGTTCAAGCTTTAAACCAGCAGCACACCTAAATATAGACTCATAAACAGGAAACAAGGCAGTGAATAATCTCGACCAGTGGGTTTCAACTCAAAACAAGACTGTGTGAAGAATCGGGACACGTGAAACCACCACTATTACTCACACAGAAGGGCATGTGGGGCTTGTCAAAAGTATCAAAATCAGATAATAATCTAAAACTAGAAACTCATTTAAGTATATATTGATATTAACAAAAGTCACATTGACGGGACAGAAATAAATAGTTTTAGATTGATCTTGAGCTGTATCAGAACAAGTATAAGAGCACATAGACTAGTAAACGCCCAAGGACGACTACGGAACAGACCTGGACCACTGAGGATTACACAGATATAAGACACATGGGAACAGAAAAGAAAGTTCAAACATTTAATGTTGAAAATCACATTCTATTGTCTAAAGAAAGAGATTTTATATATATATATATTTTTTTTTTTTAACCCAGTGACACTAATTTGAGAGGAACTGGAGTATATATATATATATAAAAAAATAAGGCCAGGACTAACACCAAAATCTTTCTATCAGTTAGAGGAGTAGATCTGTGGAATAGTCTGGATGACAGGCTTCCAGGTGAATTGGCCCAAATTATCGTATTTTCGGACTATATGTCGCACCGGACTAAGTCACACCAGCCAAAAAATGCGCAATGAAGGAGAAAAAAACATATATAAGTCACATCGAACTATAAGTCACACTTTTTTTGGGGCAATGTCAAGTTATAGTGATAACAACCGTATAGAGAACAACAGGCTGAATAGGTGTTAATATGTTAATGTAACATATGAACAGTTCTTTAGATAATTATAGCATAAACAACAGAACATAAGTTTACCAAACTCTCGATCTCACTCCAAATCACTAAATCCATTCAATTCTTCATCCTCGGTGTCACTTCTGAACAACCTCCTGACAAAAAAACCGTAGATCCATGATGTAAACAGAGCGCCGCTTCCTCTTCTGTGTCGCTGTCGTCAGACTCAGCATCAGTTCCAGTTAGAATTATTCCGGCCTTTCTGAATCCCGACAGGATGGTTTTGATTGTCACTGAAGTCGATTCATTCAGTGACTTCCAGGAAAGTTGCATGGCGCACCCGCCCAGTTGCCGTGAAGCTGTGTTCTCCATCCTTGCTTTCTGCCAGTCAATCACAAGTTTCTCACTCACTCCAAACTTTCTTTCTGCTGCTCGATTACCGTTTTCAGCTGCAGATTTCACGACTTGCAGCAGAACAGAGGCTCTTTCCACAGGAGACATGTGCAGTAGAGTGCGAAGTCACAGTGGTACAGGAGTAATAGTAGTACTAGATACTGACACATGAGCCTAGAGTCTCTCACGGCTTCAGTGTGAAAATTTTAATATACAAGTCACACCGGAATATAAGTCACAGGAAACAGGAAAGTACAAGTACACAGTATGAATGCAAAATGCAGTGACGCCAAAACCTCCAGATGACTCCACACTTCCTCCAGTCCGCTGTCCATAAAAATCCTTCCAATCATAATAAAATAATTGGTCGCTTAATCAAATCAGATGGACTAAAAAAATAAATAAAAATCACTGATTAATCCACTAAATGAGTCTACAACCCCAGGGGACTCGCCTCTCCATTGATCTGACGTGGAACTCGGTCCAGTGGCGTCACCTGCTCGTCTCCACATACATAGATCATTTCAATGCCAAACTCTGGGACCTTCTAGACCAGAAATGGGTAATTATTTTCCCCCCGAGAGCCATATTTGAATCCAGGGTAGTTAATAATTTCTAACTGAGAGAAGGCCAAGAGTTTGCAGCTCTGTCCACGAAGCAAACTGGATACTTCGAGGAATTTGAATCTAAAAAACTTTAAAATATTTCACTTATTTTACTTTACTACATAATTCCACATATTTTACTTATTATTCTTCATACTAATATTTAAATTAAAATTTTAAAACGTAATAAACAAATGGAAAAACAACTTTGAATGAGAGGGTGTGTCCAAACTTTTGACTGGTAGTGTAAATATTAATTCAAAACTTTAATATAATAGAAATAATATTAAGTATTAATTAAAAACTTGAGCGGTCACATTAAAACTTGCCCAAGAAAAACAGGAGGCAGACCCCAAAAGTTACACAGTGCACCTTTAAATACATCTGATGCATTGAGAATCTGTGAAACTGTGAATGAACCATGAGCGCAAAG